ATTTTCTCCATTTTTACTTGTCCCAGAAAGTCTTTATTTCCCCTTATTCTTGAAGAATAAGTCTATGAATTATTTGGATTAAATTTTGTGTATGGTATTAAGTAAGGGTCAAGAATATATTTTTTCCTATATGGATACCCAATAATTTCAGCACCACTTACTGAAAAGCCCTTCTTTTTCTTCATTGTATTGCAAGGCACCTTCATCATAAATCAAGCAACCAATGTAAATTGGTCTACTTATGGAATCATTTTTATTTCATAAGTCTATGTATCCTTACACTAGTACTACACTGTCTTAATTACTACAGCTTTATATTAAGTCTTGAAATATGACCACTGAAATCCTCTATCTTTTGTCTTCTTCAATCTTATCTTTGGCTGTTTAAGGTTCTTTGTTTTCCACACACATTTTAGATTCATCTTGTCCATTTCGACAAAACTCTTCCCGGGATTTCAACTGCGGTTATGTGGCATAATTAGAACAACAAAAGAGACATTAGCATCTTAACAACACTGGATCTTCAATACAGGAAAATGAGAAACATGATCTCTCTCTCCATCTCTCATCTTTCTCTCCATTTCTCCATTTCCATTTTCCTCAAGCTCACACAGAACATTTGCTAAAATAAACCACATTCTAGGCCATAAAACACCTCTTAACAAAATTTTAAAAATAGGAATCATACATCTGCTCTCAGATACAACAGAATTAATCTAGAAATCAATAACAGAAAGATAACGAGAAATTTTCAAAATATGTGGATATTAAACAAAACACTTCTAAATAATACATGGTCAAAAATAATAAGTAACACATGGGTCAAAGAAGAACTCTCAAGAGAAATTTCTAAATATTTTGAACTAAATGAAAATGAAAACATAATTTATCAAAATTTGTGGGAAGCAGCAAAAGGAGTACTTAGAAGGAATTTACATCATTGAATGTATACATAGAAGAAAAGAAAGATCTAAAATCAATATCTAAAGTTTCACCTGAGAGAACTAGAGAAAGAAGAGCAAATTAAGCACAAAATAAGCAAAAGAAAAGAAATAATAAGAATTACACAGTTCACCCGAAACTATCACAACATTGTTAATTGGCTATACCCCAAAACAAACTGTTTTTGGTGTTTAAGGAAAAAAAGAATGTTAAACCAAAAAAAAAAAAAAAGTGCTTTTTGGTACTAGAAAGGAAAAAAAAAAAGAAATTATAAGATTTAGAGCAGAAATAAATGAAATTGAAAATAGGAAAACAACAGCAAAAATTGACAAAATCAAAAGCTGGTTCTTTGAAAAAATTAATAAGATTGATAAGCCTCTAGCCAAGCTAACTAAGAAGAGAGAGAACACAAATTACTAATATCCAAGAAGGGATATCACTACAGATCCTACACATCAAAATAAAGATGTATATGGGACTTGTCTATACTTTCTGCACATTTCTCTATAAGCCTAAAGTTGCTCCAAAATAAAATTAAGTCTATTAACCAAGAAAAAAGACTCTTAGACATATTCTGTGGAAGGGTGGGGAGAAGCAGATTCTTCCTAATGGATGAGGAATATAGCACATGGTAACAAAAAGCACTTTTGCTTGAAAAATATATTGAATGAATACATATGATTTCCAAATAAGGTTCCATTCTGAGGTACTGGGGCTAGGACTTCAACATATAAATTGTTGTGGGACACTATTCAACCCACAACATGAGGGGATGGAATGTCAGGAAGAAGGCAAAGTTGGGCCTTAGGGCAGGAAAGGCGCTGACCTAGAGCAGGAGGTACAAATGTGCTCCCTAAATTAAGAAACGAATGCATGTGGCATCGCAGATAGTAGCCAAGGGCAATGGAAAAATATAAAAGGAGTGTGGGAAGTGGGAGGCGGTTCTGTTTCTGGGCTCTCCGTTACCCTCACTGTGTTTTTGTCTAGCCCTGCTTCCAATTACATTGACATAATTACTACACCTGTTAAACAAATCACTTCTTGGTCTTGATATTTCATGCAGCGACTCCAATCATTTTATCTTCCAGAGTCCCTTGGCCATCTTTAGCCCTTCCTACTTCCATATAACTTTTAGAATCGGCTTCTTACATTCCACAAAAAGCTGGGGTTTGATTGGACCTACAGTTATTATTCCACACATCGGTTTGAGAAGAATTGTCATTTTAACTATACTGAGTCCTCCAATCTATGAGTTTAGTATGTATCACCTTTAAATTATGTCTTATTTAGTATCATAACTTTATTTTAAGACTTACATACCTTTTATTAGAGTTACTCCTTGACACGTAATAGTTTATGCCATTGAAGTGTTATCTTTAAAACATTTATTTTCTGTTTGTTGATCAGAAAGAGAGAAGTTCAATATTTAGAAACTGATTTTTGTATCCTACCTTACCAAACCCTATTAATTCTAATAGCTGCTGACTCTATTGGAGTTTCGTATTATCTTCAAATAATGACAGCTCCTTTCTTACATTGCAATCTGTAGACCTTTTCTTTCTTTTTCTTATTTATTGAGCTGGCTAAGGCCTTCAGGAAAGCACTGACTCCAAAGGTGATTGAATTTTAGTTTCATATTTTGAAGGTAGAGCCAACAAGATCTGCTGACAGATCATATTTAGCAAGAGAGGAATCAAGTTTGAGTTCAAGAGTTTTGGCCTGATCAACTGGAAAAACGGCACTGTCATTTACCACAGGCCGAGCCAGGGGTCTGCTGATTATATAGTGCAGGTAATTAAACGAGGAAAGATAAAAACTGACATTTATCGGCGATGATGTCTCTAACAGGCTTTAGCCTGTTTTTCCACTTTCGAAATAACTCCGGTAAGGATTTACGCATTTATAAATGCTCCCAGTCAGGTTTGACTTGCAGCTTCCTGTTCATCACTGCCCTCTACAGGGGCTTCTGTGAATATGAGCTGTGCACTCTGATTAAAATCCAAACCAGAAAACAAGGGATAAGTTTTCCCTCCAGCTTCAATTTTTCTTGTTTCCATGAGACACATATACACACACACACCACATCTTGTCTTTGTGATCCTTCACCTGATCGGATAACTATAAGAGAGTCTCGCACTCAGGAAACTTGGTCCCTGAAGTGAACTTCCAGGTAGATGGTCTGGAAAGGTGTCCTAGAAAGGCTAGCAGTATTCCTACGGGCTTAACCTAAGAACGAGGGCTTCCCAGGTGGCTCAGTGGTAAAGAATCCACCTGCCAGGGCTGGAGGAGTAGGAGACCTGGGTTCAACCCCTGGGTCAGGAAGATCCTCTGGAGAAGGAAATGGCAATCCACTCCAGTATTGGGAAATTCCATGGACAGAGGAGCCTGGCGGGCTCCATGGGATCGCAAAGAGTCTGACAAGACTGAGGCGACTTAGCACACGTGCATGCAACCCAAGAAGAGTGAAGAGACAATGAAAAGGTGGCCCCTACAGATGAAACGCTGGGTCATACAAACAGACCCCACTGTCCCAGCTCGAGGGCCAACTTGATCATCCTTTATCGCATATTTCTCAAGTCCCTGGTACAGGCTGCAGTGTCCTTGCACAAAGAAGCAAAACTCCAAGAAGCTAGCACATTTAACAATCCAAAGGACTGTTCAAGACACAGTAACCTTCCCTGAAGCTCATTTGACACACATATGGGGTATCACACTCAGGTGTGGGCTGCCACTCCCCTCTCCTGCCACCCCATCTCAAGAAAGAAGCTCCAAAAAGGCAAGGACATTATCCTGTAAGCCTCTCTATCCTCAGTGTCCAAAATGATGCCTATCATGTAATAGTTGTTGCTTAGTTGCTAAGTCATGTCTGACACTTTGCCACCCCCATGGACTACAGCCCACCAGGATCCTCTGTTCATTGGACCTCCCAGGCAAGACTACTGGAGTGGGTTGCAATGCCCTTCTCCAGGGGATCTTCCCAACCCAGGGATCAAACCCAGGTCTCCTGCATTGCAGGTGGATTCTTTACCAGCTGAACCAGAAGGGAAGCCCAAGAATACTGGAGTGGGTAGCCTATCCCTTCTTCAGTGGATCTTCCCAACCCAGGAATCAAACCAGGGTCTCCAGCATTGCAGGTGGATTCTTAACCAACCGAACTATCAGGGCTATTTTTTGGCACTGACACATTTAAGGCTTTAATAAAATATTTTCTAAAAGACTTAAAGTTTCATTTGTCCTAACCAAAAACAATGTTGTTTAAAACTGATGAGTCAATAAAAATAGCACTGTCACTACATGGAAATAAATACAAGAAAAGACAGATGGAGTAAAAAACTGCCTCTAAGGTGTGGAACTCTAGAAGGGACAGGGCTGCAGTTTTTAAATTTTTACCACTTTCATTTTTGTATTTGCAATTGCCTTTACTTTCTACTTTACATGTTTAAATTATACACATTCCTAACATTCTACTACAACTATTCATTTTTGTGTGTAACCTGCCTTCTTCATCTACATTCATATTAATATAGTTGTTCACAATCATAGCTCTTCATTTTACATTTTAGATTTTTTTTCACTTAACCTACAGTTCCAGTTACAAAGCTATCCGTTTTTACAGTCTCCATGATTATTTTAATGGCTGCATGATATTCCAACGTGTTACTGTACCGTAATTTAGCTAAATACCTTAACATGTAACATTCTGGATTGTTTCCACTTCCAATGAAAACAATGCTGCAGTGAAGACTTGCAGTTATGTGGCCTTGTTCGTCCCGCTGCTTTGAATCATATTGCTGGATCATATTTCCGGGGTCCCACCCGAAGTACCCCTGATTCACATAGTATACCGACTGCTACCAGCGAGCACCAACGTGACCCTAACCCGCGAACCCGCGTGGCGGGGCGGGGCCTCCGTCCCAGGGGGCGTGTCCAGAGCGGGGCCGAGCGCGTCCCCGCCCCGCGCTGCGCCCCGACGCCCCGCCCGACTGAGCCCGGCGCGCCGCACACGACTAGACGGTCTTCCGGGGGCCGGGGGAGCTGGATCGCTGGGCTTGCAGGCTATGGCTACGTGGGCGGGGACCGAGGTTTCGGCGCTGAACCCGCTGCGCGCCCTTTGGCTCACGCTGGCGGCCACCTTCCTACTGACCCTGCTGCTGCAGCTCGTGCCGGCCGGCCTGCTTCCGGGCTGTGCGTTCTTCCAGGACCTGATCCGCTATGGGAAAACCAAGGAAGGGGCGCCGCCGCGCCCGGCCGCCTGCCGGGCCTTTGATGTTCCCAAGAGGTAACCGCGCCCGGGCGCGAGTCCTGGTTGCCAAGTCACGGAGAGCCGGGGGCGCCCTGCTCGAGCTGCCGGCAGGGGGCAGCAGAGGCGGGCACGGGGCCGGCGCGGACCGGATCCCGGAGGCCCAGGCCGATTCCCCGAGGCGGTGTCACCCCGGACCGCCCGCCGGCCACTGCACGCGTCTGCCCTGCGGCCCGAGGGGCGGAGTGTCCGGAGACACCGGGAAGCTGAGCCACGCGCACCGCCAGGGCGCAGGAACGTAAACTTGTGGCCTCAACCAAGCCTTTCCTTCGGGGGAAATGGCTGCGCTTCCAAATTCAGGCCTGGTCACCAGGCGGTAAAGTCTCCTTTGTCCCCAGTTTCTCTTTCCGCCGTCCTGCACTCTAGGGACTCGTAACCTAACCTGAGGTCGCCGGGACTCACTAGAAATGAAGGCAGGCCCTACCTTCTCTCGCGTCCCCTGTTTGTCTCCTTCACCGTCAGCAGTCAGGACGAAGGGTGAGACGCTGGTCACTAACACACGCCACCTCCATCAGCCGCGCCGAGGCAGGTGCCCCGGGAGAAAGTTGCCCAGGATGGCACGTTTAGGCAAGCGTGGTCCCGAAGCGCCAGATGGCTCCACAGATTTCATAACTAAGTTAAATGAGAGGTTAAATCGTTATGCCCGCAATATAATTGTTGAAGGAATTGTAAGGCTTATTATAGTCCGGGGAGTTTTTTTCATGTGTTTTCACTTTAAATTTAGACCATAACTGAGAAGAGTCGGCCGAACACTTCTTGATGGTAGATATATAGCAGTGGCGTTTGCTTGGAGATACAGACTAAGTTGGCGTTCAGAAAGGAATATGGAGAAATGTGATAGGGTTTCTGATGTACTAAAATACCTCAATTATCGCTTAAATCTCAAATAGGCTGTTCCCCAGGTCTGCAAGATGGGAAAGGGTGTAGGTAAACTTGGCTTCCCACTTCTGACTGTTGGAGAAATACTCGCCAGATATAACGCTGAGAAGCGAGCGCTGGGTCATTTTGAGGAATGAGGGAGGGGAATGAGGCCCTGGGAAGAAGAGCATATGCCTGCTAAGTCACTTCAGTCGTGTACGACTTTTTGTGACCTCTTGGACTGTAGCCCGCCTGGCTCCTCTGTCCATAGGCATTCTGCAGGCAAGAATACGAAGGTGGGTTGCCATTCCCTTCTCCAGGGGGATCTTCCCGACCCAGGGACCAAACCCATGTCTCTGTCTCCAGCACTGACAGGCGAGTTCTTTACCACTAGCGCCATCTGGGAAGAAGTAGATGCTTCAAACACTGTGATTAAACCTGTTTCTTAGACGCTGTTTTGAACCAAAAATGTCCTGTCAACCCTATTTTTAATGAGGATTTGAATATAGTAAGTACTTTTCTACTTCACAGCAGGGACATTCCTAGATTGTCATTTTTTTTTAATGTTACAAAGTGAAGCAAACAATTACTTGTTTTGAGAGTGAATTCTAACAATTTACTTTTTGAATTTTAAAAAAGATACTAGTGTCATTGATTAAAGGGCACATTTCAAATCGTCCCCTGCACTTACCTATTTATTTGGCTCCTATACCCCACCTCTTACTACTCCAGTCTGTGGTCATATGGCAGCCAAGAAACAGATTTCGTACCTTTTCCTTATTCATTATTGCAAAATGGGTACTCTCTGGGCTGCTTGTAATTTCTACTATATTATGAAATAATTTACACCTTTTTCTTCTTACAGATTTCTAAAATGGACCCTCCTATGGTGTTTTGTTTGACTTTTTTTCCCCTAAATTGAAGCTAAAATTTCTTTTCATACTAGAGCAGGTATAACTATTCCAGGCCAATAATGAAAGTCAAAAATGTCTAGATGCTATATTGAAGTACTTTTTCTTGTTCAAAATTCAATAGTACTCTTAAAAATGAAAATAAGCCTATAACTTTTACACTTACAAACAGGCAGCTGTGAATCATATTTCTGTACCTTAAGAGCTCAAGTTAATTTGGGAGGAATTATTTTTTCATAAATGGTAAAGAATTAAACCTTAATTGAGTTCATGGAATGTTTGATTCCATAATCCCTCTCTGGCAGATTGTTGTTTTTTTTTTTTTTTTTGATTAAGGTGATACTGCTTTTCTTGTTTTCTTTTGAGTTCCTGGAGTTTTGATTTCCCAGAAAGTCTGAATAAATACTTGACCTCAAACATGAGTCACAATGCTATTGACTTTCATAATGCACATGGAAGTACTTCTATTTCTAATATTTCAAAATATTATAGAAACATTTTAATTAAATTCAGCTCTAGAGACAAAGAGAATCATCTAGTCTTTCCCTACTGGGGTTCAGAGATCCTAACCAGCAATCCAGAGGATCTATAGATAGAACTCAGCACAAATTGGATTGCAAAAAATTACATCTTTATTTCATTAATCTCTAGCTGTAATTCACCATTTTCTTAGTGATGAATGAAATCAACAAACCACAGGAGAATTAGCAAAATCTGCAGTAGAATTGGCAATACCTGCAATTTAATACTATATTAAAAATATTGAAGAGACTAAGAACATTTTCATCACTATATAAAAATACCGTATTATCGTCTACTGTGTCTCATTATTTAATACATTAATTAAGCACATATATAACAAATGTTTCTTACTGGTTGTGTTACCTATATTTCAGAATAATTGGGTTTCCTTTGTATCCCCATGTATTTTAGGCTTGGGAAGGGGCATGTTGCCTTCACTAGACTGCCAGAGGAGTCTGTGGAAGAAAAATGTCAAGAATCCCTACTCTGAACTGTAAACTACATATGTTTACATTTGTCTTGTTTGTTGCTATACCCTGGGCTCAATGCCTGACAAATTATAAAGTCCTCAGTCAATGTTTTGAATGAATCAAAGAAAAAAGATTTTAGGTTTGATTTATTGACTAACTTGACTAGTTTCTCTGAGAGTAACTGTGGATGAGGTCCCTTCTCTTTCATTCATTTATTTATTTAACCAATGTTTATAGAGTATGTACTATTGCCAGGAGCTGTTCTAGGTTCCTTGGAGCCTTGGTTTCTATAAAGCAGTAAATATGTAAACAAATACTTTAAAACAAGTAAGATAATTTCATATGGTAATAAGTGCTTCAGAGGAAATCCAGCTGTTATTTGATCATGAGCAAGATGTGGGTGGCAGTGACAACCCTAGAAAGGATGATCAGAAAGGGGTAGGGCAGGAGATGAGTTCATTTCAGGAGGCCAGAACAGACATTGGGCTTTTTGGACCATGGTGGAGATTAGATGTTATTCTGAGTGTATGGAAAGCAGCTTTAGGATGGGGAGATGGGGTATGGCATTATGTGATTTATGTTTGAAAGAATGACTTGCCATTGTATGGGAAAGACTGGATGAGAGGCTGTTAACAGTGGGCCAGGCAAGCAGTGGTAGTATGGATTAGAGCGTTAGTGTAGTAGAACCTATTTGTCATATAGGTGGTGATGACATTAAAGCACATAGCATAGGGTTGGGCACCGAGGCGGAACTCGGTAACCATTAGTTTCCTTCCTCCATGTGTGTGTGTGCACACACATCCAGTTGGTCATGTCCAGCTCTGTGACCGCCTGGACTGTATAGCCTGCCAGGCTCCTCTGTCCATGGGATTTCCCAGGCAAGAACACCGGAGTAGGTTGCCATTTCCTCCTCCAGATGATCTTCCCAAACAAGGGATTGAACCCATGTCTCTTGCTTGGCAGGCAGATTCTTTACCACTGAGCCACCGGGAAGCCTCGTTTCCTTCCTTGGTTAACCCTGTAACTCCCCTATCTGGTCCTGGGATCAGTTCTGGCAATCAGTAAATATGTATTAAATCAGATCATATCTCCTGGCTCAGAACTACCCAGTGGCTTCCAACTCACAGAAGAGTCCAATCTTATACAGTCTTATACAGTCTTGTTCTCACCACCTCACTGAGGCCCTATAGTTTGCCCCTCCTGTGGCTCCAATCCAGTTTTCTGGGTCTCTATCTGCTTGTTCTTTCTCTCACCTCAGGGCCTTTGCACTGCCTGTTTCCTGTACCTGCAAAGCTGGTCCCCCAAATAGCCAGATGGTATATGCTCTCACTTCCATATAATTCTGCTCAGATGCTACCTTGTCAGCAAGACCTGCCCTGTCCACCCTGTTTAAAAATACAATGCTGCCATCCCCAGCATTCTTCTTGCCAGCTTTAGTTTTCTTATTAGCAGTTATCACCTGCTGACATGCTGTAAGTTTTACTTCTGTGTGTTGCTGTGAGTGTAAGCTCCATGAGGGCAGGAATGGTTGTCCTTTGTGTTCACTGCTGTATCTCCCGAGCTAGAGTGGTGCCTGGCTTATGGTAGACGTCAGACTGTTGGTGAAGTCAGAGCAGTGCTTGCTTGGTACTCAGTCCTGTGTTACAGAAGGGTCACCGAATCCTTGCTCCCAGGGGTTCACTTCATTTAAGCATAGTGTGAATGGAAGAAAAACAGGGAGAGAACAGAAGGAAGTGGAGTTTTCCAGTTCGCTTCTGAGGCTAGAGCTGGGTCTTTTCAAAAAGAAATATGGGACTTCCCTTGTGATCCGGTGGCTAAGACTTGATGCTCCCAATGCAGGGGACATGGGTTCAATCCCTGCTCAGGGACCTAGATCCTGCATGTGCAAGTAAGAGTTCGAGCGCCACAGCGAAGACCCGGCACAACCGAATAAAGAAAGAAATAGAGATACAACCTCAAATAAAGAGTAGAACACATTTCATGCAGCAGGAACCAGGCAAATAAAATGAGAGAGAATGTGCAAAATGTGGGAATGAGAAAAACAAGTCAGCCTGTGAATCAAAACCCTATGGCACAAGCAGGGCAGAGCAAAATGTGGCTTAGCAGCTTCTATCAGACATAGTGAGTGACTGGAATGACTTATGATTTGGTATAAATTGGCATGTGTGATGGTGGAAGTGGAAAAGCAGGTTTAAACAAGTCTCGATCACATGACCAGGAGCACAGCCATGTGACTTTTAACTTCAGGGTCATCAGGGCTGAGTCTGAAGCCAAACACTGCCACTTACTGAGAGGCGCCGGACAAGTAACTGGACCTTCTGAGCCTCAGTTTTTTCATCTGCCACATGCAGATAACCACATAAACTTGCCAGGATGGTTGGGAAGATGAAATGAATACTCTTAACTGGTCTTCCCACAACTAGATGATCCTCTTACCTAAGTACCAGAGGGATTTTTTTAAGCAATGACCGAAATGAGTGAGCTATACGCACGCACTCTCTCTCTCTCTCTCACACATTCTCTCACATACTCCTCCCCTTTTTTTTGGATTGTGATGAAATATACATGACATAACCTTTTCCACTTTAACCCTGAGTATGCAACTGGGCATCCTTTAAGTCCATTCACATTGTTGTGCAGTCATCACCACTGCCCATCTCCAGAACTTTTCTGTTAGCCAGAGAGATTTTGAAAACATAAATTATTCCTTCAAGTCACTGTGTTCAAAAGCTTCCCCGTCCGGCTTAAAAGCCAGTGCCCTTACAGGACCCCATCGCATCTGCCCCTCCTAGTTCATGCTCTAACACAGTCCATATGTTCTTTAGTTGCTAAGTCATGTCTGACTCTTTTGCGACCCCTTGGACTATAGCCCACCAAGCTCCTTTGTCCCTCGGGTTTTCTAGGCAAGAATACTGGAGTGGGTTGCCATGTCCTTCTCCAGGGGACCTTCCTGACCCAGAGATCAAACCCATATCTCCAGCATTGGCAGGAGAGTTCTTTACCACTGAGCCCCCAGGGAAGCCCACTGTCTGTATAGGTGTCCTTTATTGTTCCTCAGCGCCTTTGTGGTTGCTGTTTCCTCTGCCTAGAAAACTCTTTCCTTAGAAATTCATAAGGGTCACTCATTCTAGCCAAGCATTACTTCTAGAAGGGCCAGCCTTATCCACCCATCCAGAATGACCTCTCCTCTGCACCGCCTCTGTCCCGTCACCCAGCATCAGGCAGGATGTCTGCAGATTCACTTGCCGACTCTCTGCTGAAAGGTAAACTTCAGCAAGCCAGGCACCTGGTCAGTTTGCTCCCTGCTGCATCCCCAGCTCCAAGAACATCACCTAGCAGTTTTGAAGTGCTCAGTAACTTTTTTTTTTTAATGAAATAGGTAAAGTGGCTCTGAAGTTGCCCCTCAGAAGCTTGTCCCCTCCTCTTTCCATGGGAGCCTGCAGAGCAAGGTGCTGCCGCCATTCTGAGCTATTGGCTCAGGCCAGACCTGGGCTCAGGTCTAGAAGTGTGTCTTAAGGAAGACTGTTAGGCAGCCGGAGGCCAGGGTCTCGGGATGGGGCAGAGGAGGCAGAATCAACACTCATGCTTGAACTCGGCTCTTGAGTGTGAAGAAGACCCGAATCAGGATTAACAGGACATCTCAGGGCAGGTCTAATGACAGAATTTGTAACAATGGTGGGAGAATTAAGTGGGTTGCTATGGAATAATCAGCTTAGACCAGCATTTGTTAGACTGGGTTGTGAGCATGGTCTAGGGGACTGTGAGTTCTGGGACACACAAGCATATTCTGGGTCACCTAGGAGTGGAGCCTCTCGAGTCCCTGTGGTCTTCTTGATTCCAGGCTGTCTTACTGCATTACAGATTAATGAGACGAGAAGGAAGGCTTAATATGGCTGTGATGCCTTGAAGACCAGGGAAGGCCAGGTGACGCCCAGACACCTTGCAGAGTCAGAACGATTTTAAGTTGATTCGAATAGAGAAAACTAGTAGACGAATAGGTAAAGAGACCCCAAGAAAACCCGTGGTAGACCCTCATACCATAGCAGGTGGTGTCATTGCAGCAAACCAACATCATCTTTCCCATAACATTAACTCTGTTAACTGCAATTTTTGTTGCTTTTGTGGTTTTATTTCATTTGTTACTCTGTTGATGTCAATACATGCACTGTACTTCTGTGAGACTGTACCCATCAGGAGTTGATGGCTAGTTTTATGAGTTCTTATTTGTCATGTTATCATAGAAGCAATTTAGGTCAACACAATTTAGGAAGACACTAAATCAGAAGACCTATTTAAGGTTTCTTGCAGCCCTGTGAGCCTGTGATTGTGCAAATCTTGTGTAACTGTTGCATGGCTATTGCAGCAATATTACTTGAGATTTAGAAATCTTCCACAGGTTTGGCTTGGGGTAACACAGTCTAGGCTCTCCCTGCCAGGCCCTGGGGCCCTCTGTCTTTGAATTTGAGCCCAATTTTGTTACCTGAAGATAAGACAGATAGTTAACTTTAATCTAAATTTAACAAGGTCATTCGTGTTCTTACTAACCTCAGGAAACCTCTTTTTCCTATGAGTTAACCAGTCCCATCATCTGAAAGGAAATTTCAAAAACCTGAACATCTGTAGGATTCAGCTTCTTTTAAAAAAGCACAACTATGCTTGCAGCATGAGGGAAAAGAGGATGAGGAAACAAAAAACAGTCTTCTAATATAATGGCTTCAAGTGGGTCTACTTTGATCATTATCTAACCTGTTTTCACTTTGCAGGTATTTTTCGCATTTCTACATCATCTCAGTGCTGTGGAACGGGTTCCTGCTCTGGAGCCTCACTCACTCTCTGGTCACGGGAGCGCCTTTTCCAAACTGGCTTCATGGTCTGCTCAGAATTCTTGGGACTGCGCAGTTCCGAGGTAACAGCTCCCCTGGCTAATTCCAACCCTTGCATTCTGTTCCTGAATTTCCTGCCTGCGGCGAGCTGTTCTGGGTACTTCATAGCTTCTCTCGGGCTCCTCCTCAGCGGGTGAAGGGTGGGGGCAGAAAGGCTTCTGTGTGGACCACGGCCAGATGGCCAAGGAGGAGGCCCCAGGCCCTTCACTGAGATCGTGGCAGAGCTGAAAGTCGACTCTTCATCCCTGACTTCCCAGCAAGGGCTGTGCTGGACAGCACTGGCTATTCTCCCTCTGATATTTTTAGTACTGTTGATAAATGTATACAGAGGTCTTTACAGTCAAGGGGAAAAACTTTTAAAATTCCTCAGGTTTGCCTTGAAACATTTATCATATATGTAGTTCCAACCAAAATCGTGCCTCCAGACTCCAGAAATTTGATAGAAAATTACTTTTTGACCATGGATTTAAAATGTTATGCTGTGGGGCTTTGGTTATATAATAAAATTGACTAGAAATAGTTGTTGACCAGATGATTACAAAATAGCCTTTAAATTTGCCTCACTGTGCCTTGAATAAAGAATACACGGAACTACTTAAAACAGCAAGTAATTGAAGGTGAAAACCATAACTTGGCTTAGTTAATGTCAGGCAGCGGGAGAGGGGAAGAATTAAAAACAAATTGTTCTGGTGGTATCTCTGTCCTTTGTTCCAGCAGCCAAACCACTGGCTCCCTAGGAACAATCCTTTTTCTGTGTCAACAGAGGAACTTTTTGCAAAAGATGACAGTCAGACGGGAAAAGCTATGCAGAGCCTCCTTGGGAGGGGAGGATACCAGAGCGAATCCCACTTTACCACTTATGCCTTCATTTGTGTACTGGAGGGTTCATGAGGCTCTGGTATTTGGAGGGTGATTGTGAGGAGTTTTATTTGGTTGTTTGTTTTAACCTGTTCCTAAAGAGTTAGAACTAGTTTTACTATGTTTAAAGAGAAAAGCAGGGCAAGCCAATATGACAGACGTCTCCATAGAATGTACCCTTCGGAGAGTCGGGGAGGGGCAGTGCCTGGAAGGGAACCCAAGCAGCTGCTGGTTGTCCTGTTTCTGGATCTGGTCATATGGGTTTAGTTTGTAAAAATCCATTAGGCTGTGTTCTTACTGTATATTTGTGCTGTGTGATAACATTTTTTGAAAAATCTAGATTTTATGTCATTTTAAAAACCAGCATTTTTTCTGACTTCTTTTGGGGCAGAGGGGCAAAAGGCAGATAGAGAGATAGATCTCGAGGCTCACAGTCCCCCAAAAGTATATTTCTTTTTTTTCCTTAGTATGGAAAGAAATGCACAATTCCTCCCACTCCATTTTCACGCCCCTTTCTGCTTCTGTACATTCCTGTGTCATGTGTCCCCCTGACCTCGGGCATCCCAGCAGGGGGCCTGGCTCAGACGTCATCCAGGAACTCTTCCCGACCATCTTCAAATGGGGATGCGTGTCAGGGACCCAGAAACTGTGGAGCTGGGTTCTGAGAGCACAGACCCTTCCCAGCCACGTAACCCAGACGGCTTTCACATCACAAAGTAGAGACCGGAGACCTGAGTTTGTCTCCAGTCTGTCACTAGCCAAATTCCTTGACTCCACTTGGCTCACTTCCTCATTGCCACTAAGAGAGGTGGTGTTAGACTGGGTGATACCTGGCACCCCTTCGTAGCTCTGACCGCAGCGAGGACAGACGTAGCTGGGTCGCTCCTGGAGCGGTGCTGAGCGTGCCCCGTCTGCCTCGCAGGGGGCGAGCTCGCGCTGTCTGCGCTGCTGGTGCTGGCGTTTCTGTGGCTGCACAGCCTGCGAAGGCTCTTTGAGTGCCTCTTCGTCAGCGTCTTCTCCAATGCCGTGATCCACATCGTGCAGTACTGGTTTGGCCTTGTCTACTATATCCTTGTCGGCCTCACGGTGCTGAGCCAAGTGCCCATGGACGGCAGGAACGGTGAGTGGTCCCTGGGGTCTGTCCACTGAGCCGCTGAGTATGTGAGGGCCTCTCCCCCGAAAGCATGATGGAAGTTGGAAAGTCAGGGACCCGCCCAGTCCCCTTGGCATGTGAGGAGGCTGGGCTCTAACTGTAGCTTTAAAAACTCAGCATACCTGGAGGCTGTGATAAAGAGTGAAATAAGTCAGGAAGAGAAAAATAAGCATCATATATTAATGCATATATGTGGAATCTAGAAAAATGGTATAGATCTTATTTGCAAAACAAGCAGAGACATGGATGTAGAGAACGCATGTGTGGACACCAAGGGGGATGGAGTGGGGTGAATTGGGAGACTGGGGTTGACGCTGTTGATACTATGGGTAAAATAGATGACCAGTGAGAACCTCCTGTGTGTAGCTCGGGTGCCCCTCCTCAGTGCTCTGCGGTGACCTAACTGGGAAGGAAATCCAAAAAAAGAGGGTCTGTGTGTGTCCGTGGCTGCTTCCCCATGCCGTATGGTAGACACTAACGGCGTTGTAAAGCAGCTCTACTCCAATAACAATTGTAAACATTAAACAAGTCCGCACGCCCAAGGGCACCCCGCAGACACAGGTCACATTAACCACGCCCAAGGGCACCCCGCAGACACACGTCACATTAACCATAACCGCGGAAACCTGACCGACACCACCGTAAGCAGCAGCGCCTGAAGCAGAGAGTGGAGTGCAGAGTCCTCCGGAGGCTTGCTTTAGGGATGAGAAAGGGGCCACAGGTTTCCCTCGGTGGGACTGAAGTCAGTGAGCTTCTGTGGACTAGCATGGAAAGAAAGAGGCAGTGTGGTCCGGAGTAGAACAGGAAGCAGGGAGCAGAAGGAAGCTCAGCCAGCCCAGTTGCCTCACCGAAGCCTTGTCATCCTGGGGCGGAGGGGTGAGGGTGGGGAAGGTGGAGCTGTCGTGCAGGGTGAAATCGTGGAACACCAGAGGAGGAAGGGGTGGCCCCAACTCCTGGTGACACGCTGGGGTTTGAGAGGAGGCGGGGAGCCACTCTATTGCCATTCAGTTCTTGCGGTGGTTCCCCTCACAAAAAAGCTTTTCTCAGGTCAGGCAGCCTGAGAGGGGAGGGCCAGAGAGCACTGTGGCCAATCAAAGCTGTGTCTCAACACTTCCGGAGCGCTCACTTGCTAGGAAGAGGGAAGCAAAATCACAACCTTTGTGTATGAGGAGGGAATGAAATGTGATTCTGGGGGCTGGCATGGTGGAGGGGAGGGAGGATTGGATATCTAACATATGTGACCATCTTTTTTTTTTTTTTTTTACAAAAACAGTGCATATTTGTCGTAAAGAATTCAAGTCATTTTGGGTGATTGAAGTGAGTTTTTAGTGCTGAGGTTAACTTCATCTTGCACCCTTAGTATCCATCAGCCCACACATGCGAGGGTAGATCATTCACCACTGTTTTCTCTTAAGCCCAAGTCTCTCTGTTTCCTACAGCTGCCCTGTCCCTCCTCCTAAATTGAGCCCATGGTCTGGATATTTCCAGTACTCCGTGAGTGAGCTTTCTCCACAGGTTTGATTTCAGTGCTGCATGCCCTTTGATCAGCCTCTCTCTGTTGCTGTAGGACCACCCAAGGCTTCCGTGGCTCGAGGAATGATTTTAAAGTACGACTTATTGACGATCTTTCTCAATTCCTGAATTATTTATTGGCTCCAGCCACACTCAGCTGGCATCTCTACATCTGATTTCTCTGAACTTAAGTCAGTTTTTCCTCCCTCAGCTTTTGGCTGTGGCATTCTTTTCAGCCCACATCACTACTTGAGCTGTCATTCCCGAAGAACAGTCCTAGGATTTCACCGAAAGGAACTTTCCAGAGCACTTTGGTAACCTACTAGTGTGCAGTCCGTCAGCATGACGTGTCTCCTGGAGCTTCCTCTGCTGACCTGGACTCCAGCTCTTGCTCTTCCTCCTATATAAACAGTCAAGGAAAGGCTGCTGAGACACCCACAAAATAGCTTGCAGATACTCCTTTCTGAAGCTTTCTGAAACTTGAGTTTCACCTACCTGTCCTTCAAGAGGTCATCTGCAGTCATTTGGGGCAGGCTGGGAAAGACTGGTTTCAGGAATTCATTGGAAGAGAATGCACTGGGGCATTTGCCAGCTTCGTGGTCTGATAGACAGGAGCTTGGGAGTCAGATGGGCCTGAGTCTGAGTTCTGGCTTGTTTAATTGATCAGAGCTCCAGAACCTTTATCTGGAATTGGGGACATACACTGATTTCAGAGGGTTGTTACGAAAGTGGAGAGAAAGTCTATCTATAAACTACCCAGATCTTCACATCTCCTTGTCTTCAGAGTCTAGAGGGTCTCACCAGTCACTCTCCATTATATTGTTCTGTGGGTTTTTTTCTTCAGAGCCCCATCTCTCCCTTATATTATCTTAATTATTGATTTTTTTTTAACTTGTTTCATCTCCTGCTACTAGAATGTGAGTTCATGAGGACTGGGATCTGACCTGACTCATCCACTGCTTTATCTCTCGTGAGAGATGCCACTCAGTAGACACTCCATATGGAACGAATAAATAAATAATTATGGGGTCGCACAGGGTCTGACATGACTGAAGCAACTTGGCAGCAGCAGCACACAGATTAGACCCTCGGTAAATAGCCTTCTGCCTGCCTCCCCTTTCTAGTATTATAATTCCAACTTACTCTGAAAAATCTTTTTTCCTTCGTAGATAATTTCTCTGCCTTTAGAGTAGGTGACTTGGCAGTGACGTGAACTCCCCAACTTCTAACACTATGGTGACTTGCTCTTAAAGCCCTCTGATTTAAAACTGGTTTTCATATTTTGTTTGTTTTTAACTTATAAAAATATAACCACTTAGTTAAATGGCTAAACCTAGTAAACATTAAGAGATTATCGTTTTCAAAAGAAGTTAACTCAATTAGACTTCGATGGACTGTCATTAGTTATTAGCCATCACCAGCTGAGTCCTGCTTCCAGGTACCCATATGAAATAGCTTGATCCTTGGTTCTCATACCTGAATCAGTTTTTAGGGGCTCCCTCTCGGCTCTGGAGCCCAGGCTCCTCCCCACTGTCAGTAGGCAGCTTTGTTTTCTTTGGTCAAGTCCCTGACTCACCTCACTGCTTCCTGCTGAACATAGGGAAGCCTTACTTTGCTTTTCTGATGCCAGTCCTTGGAAGACCTTCATTCTGCCTGTCTTCTCAGTAGCTGGAGAAGAAAAAGCAAGATGGAACTTGGAGTGTTTCTACTGCTGAAACAAAATCTCTTCACTGGGTTCTCTCTAATCAGAACAGGATATTGTTTTGGTCTTTATCTTGCAGTTTACATTTCCCTTTTTGAGAAGCTCCACCCCTCACCTTAACTTCCAGTGATTTTCTTCATTGGCTGGAGCCAGTCAAGTCAGTATTCAAAGTTTCCCTAGAAATGGCTCAGGTGATATCCTTCAGAAGATGTTTTTCTGACAGCAGACTGCAAGAAGGAAGACATCAAACCAGGCTTAGCAATAAAAATGCAGAGTGGTCTCAGCACATAAGAGTACATCACAAGAGTGGGAGCTGGCCCTCAGAGCTGATCCCCGTGCCTGAAGAAGGAGCAGGAGAATGTGCCTGTCTGGAGTTCTCCGCCAGGGTGCCTGAAGCTGCCCCTAGCCAAGGCGCACACCTACTTCACCCACAGGGACAGTGTTCTCCCTTCTGTGCTTGGGGATGATGTCAGGGTGGTTTTCTAGTCATGAGGAACCGAATAAGTGGATAATTGCATTCTGCAGACTGATTTTTTTTTATGTGCCAAGCCTCTGAAGTTTTGCAGAGTTGGCTAATAAGGTAACTCTTTATTTCTGTAGTCTATGTGATAGGGAAGAATCTCTTGATGCAGGCTCGGTGGTTCCACATCCTCGGAATGATGATGTTCATCTGGTCATCTGCCCATCAGTATAAATGTCATGTCATTCTCAGCAATCTCAGGAAAAACAAAGCAGGTAAGATATCTTTTAGAACCACTCACTGTGGGGTTTTAGCCCTCAGGAGTTAAATGTACTTATTCTTTCTCTCTTTTCTTTCCTGCCCTAATTAGTTGACTAATCAATCTATCAAATACTCATTTTGACAAGACTCTCTGGGCCTTGATCTTCCCATCTGTAAAACGAGAGCATTTTACTGACAGCCCTCCCTGGCGCCATCTAGCCCTGACGTTCTGTGACTCTATTCTGTGCCCACGTTTGGGACCTACGCTGCATGTGTGTGTCTGACCAGCATGTCAGCACTGCCATTACTGTGCCAAGTTAGTATCGTTCCAGCCAGAGCAAAAAAAACTTGACTTTTTTAGTTAGCTTGTATTGACTTATCACAAACACAGTTTTTATTAGGCTTTCTGAAATAATAAAAATGGAACAATGCTATTCAATGTTTATCAGGTACTTGTTTTGTGCCAGCCCTATTCTGAGTTGCTTTATGTATAATGTCACAGTACTCACTTGAGGCAAATATAGTCTTGCCCTGATTTTACAGGTGAGGAAACAGAGGCACAGAGAGGTTAAGCAACTGACCTAAAATCACACAGCTTGTAAGTGGCAGAGCTAGGACTTTAACTCATGCAGTCTGACTCTGGAGTCTGAGCTCTTCATCACTAGCGTGGAGGATTGCTGGAGAAACATGCTTGCTTTTGTGCTGATTTACAGTTAGCATAACTTCAGCCTGTGACGTTCTGACATGCAGTAGGTTGACGGGGAGGTGGTGGCTTCACAGTGGTTTGTACCGGTCTGTGACATCCTTTTCCAATTGAGTTTTTATAAATGATTGCGGGAGCAAAGTGGTAAAACTTTCTTCTAGCAACTTCAGACGTTCAGGGTATCTTCTTTTCCCGTTCAGGAGTGGTCATTCACTGTAACCACCGAATCCCTTTTGGAGACTGGTTTGAATACGTCTCTTCCCCTAACTACTTGGCGGAGCTGATGATCTACATTTCCATGGCTGTCACCTTCGGCTTCTACAACTTAACTTGGTGGCTCGTGGTCACGTATGTCTTCTTCAGCCAGGCCCTGTCTGCTTTCCTCAGCCACAAATTCTACAAAAGCAAATTCATCTCCTACCCGAAGCATAGGAAAGCTTTCCTGCCATTTCTGTTTTAAGTTAACCTCCAGTTATAAAGAATGCAAACCAAGTGACGGGTTCAGTTCCTAAGGCCAAGGAAGTCTAGAGACCAAAGTACAGTTTGTGTGGAATGGCTTAAAACTCTGTTCCAGTTCTGTTAACAAAAGTCTTCACTGCATGAGCAAAGACATGCCCCTCTGGAAAATGAGTCTTCAAAGAAATCCTTCCTCCCGGCAGACATGGGGATGCTGTGTGTGCTTTCTGAGATGCTCTATAAAACCAACCAGCTGCTAAAAAAATAAAGAGCAAATGAGACTTCAAGCTGCTTCAAAAACAAAACCAGCCAAGAATATATGAACAGCATCTAGCAAATACATACATATACAAAGGAAGAGATAAGCTCACGTGTGGCTTTGTTTTTGCTCCGGACAAACTAACTAGACAGCAGGATAAGCAATACAGTAGGTGCTCAGTAACTGCTTATTGCATTTCAGTCAAACCAGAATAGCCCTTGAAAATAACAGCAATGTATAATTTCACACTGATGGATTCAGGGGAAAGTGAGTTTACTGAAGTTATTTTATACTTATTACACAAAAATTACCAGTAATGTAACCATCAGAGTCATCTCCCCCTCAAATCACAGCTTAACAGAAAGTTTGAAACCTCTTTTATTTAATACTTTTCTGACATCCCTTTCTAGGGAGTACCTTAAAAGTGAAAGTATCAAAAATAAAGTATTTTTGTATTTATGCGTAAAAAGCCTTCATGAATGGCACTGACACTCCAGATCTGCTAGCGCTGTAGCCTCATTTGTATGTAGTTATTTAGATTGGATTAATAAGTGCCTGAGTTTATTTTAACTTAACAGAATGAATTCAAAGATATTTAAAGTTCATACTGACAATAGCTTATTTAAAGAAGATACCCATCATTTAATCAGGTAGATATAAACGCATAGTGTGAAAGTAGAAAATACCATAGTCTGAGCAGTGCAGTAAAAATTGCACATTTGTGCAACATAAGATTTACTGGCTTATTGGCCAAGGTATTAACTATTTATGTTATACAGATGTTTTATTATAGTCTACTAAAGTTTTGTGCTCAGATATACCATGCTATGGGGAGAAGGCAATGGCACCCCACTCCAGTACTCTTGCCTGGAAAATCCCATGGACCGAGGAGCCTGGTGGGCTGCGGTCCATGGCATCGCTAACAGTCGGACCCGACTGAGTGACTTGACTTTCACTTTTCACTTTCATGCACTGGAGTAGGAAGTGGCAACCCACTCCAGTGTTCTTGCCTGGAGAATCCCAGGGACGGGGGAGCCTGGTGGGCTGCAGTCTATGGGGTCGCACAGAGTCAGACACGACTGAAGCGACTTAGCAGCAGCAGCAGCAGCAGACCATGCTGTGAGGGAAAGCATCTTATTGTTAACTGGACACAGATGGAATGCATCGTCTAAGAATGTCCCCCCCACCTGCATCTCTGCAGTGATAAACCAGAGCTGTTAGATTCTTTCCGATCTGACTTTCAGTGTATGTATATCAGTACATATTCTAAAGTTCTTACACTTCCGAAGTAGCGTTTTCTCCCCAACAATCAAATGCCACTTCTATCAGCTGCTCAGTCTGTTCAAATGAAATGACATGTTCATTTCACTTATCATTTAGATTTGCCATCCTCAAGATCAGGATTCAGGAACAAGACTTCCTACATCAGAAATGTGAAGCCTATTGCATTTTGGTCTTAATTTCCACACAAATGGCATAAATTTTAGTAGCATACTATTGGGGGAGAAAAATGTATTTTGCTTTAGCTTGCAATTTCACACTAGGTTAGACTAGGAGTTTGGCAGCTACTCTGGAATTTCATTGTACTTTTAAGTAAAATCATCATCACCCCTGCGAGGAGGCCCACAGGGCTGTGAGAGAGGGTTCCCAGTCCGCCCTCTACACCCCGTGCCCACGCCACCCTCATCACACTCCTATCTCCTGCTCTCCCTTCACCTTCCTGGCTCAGCGATTGCACTTCTAGGTGAAAACAAAAAAGGAAGTAGTGCTGTCCTCAAAGGGGTTCAGAACAAAGTCACGTGGTCTTTGATGAAAGCTCAACCGTGGAGAATAATTGAAAATCGTGCTGTGTTGCAAGATCGCTATCAGCAATGCTCTTTGTACAGGTGAAAATATTCCCTGTGCCTGAAGGGAGAGTGCCAGAGACAGTCTGTAGATTCTTCTACAGAATGGGTAGTGCTGGAATAGCTTGGGGGCAGGGTTCCTGACTTAACCTGCTAGCTTAGTTGAACAGATTTACTCTTTCATTCTGTTACTAATAAGTTCAGGGGAAATGATACTGAACCACCTCATAACAGCAGTCCCTGGGTTAACAACTGACTATAAAAGTATGCTAAAAATAGCCTCTGTTTTTAAGTCTCCCAAGTTGTAGCTCGGCCTCTACACTAACGTTTGCTCTCAGTGAGCACAGATGATTTCGTCTCCACAAAGCTTTGTCCTGTGTTACGTTTTTAATTCAGTGAGTGGTTATTACTAGAATTCCTATCCAAAAAAAAGGAAAAGCCTTTGCAGATATTTTTATATGAAGTTTAATAGATACATAACTAAAGTTACCTGAAAATTCAAGGACCATTGATAAGGAATCTATCTCAAAATGAACTGATACCATTAAAGAGGTCTTAATAAATGAGCAAGTAGAAAGTTTTTACATGTCTAAGCAGTATCTGCTTATCAGAAAAAAATATTCAACTGATTTTTATCAGTACCTTAACCTTCTAAGATTTTTCTGATAAATGGAAAAGAAACAGTAGAGGTGGCAGTTGTCCCTAAGTCACATGATGCATATTTCATCATTTTTCTCAAATACTGACGATCTAGACAGCCTGGTTTCAGGGAAACATAATTATTTGGACAAACATTGTATTCTAAAAAGCTACCCTATGCACATAATATCAGGTCTCTTCCTTCCAAAAGACTGAACACTTGAAGTGCTTAGTGGACAAAAGAACACAAGGGATTTCTCTGCAGAAAGACCAATCTACCTCCTGAGTCTAGCCCTCTGGGTAAAATCCTCATAGCTTATGTGCAGTTTTTATCAAGGGTCCCTGGCCTACATAGCATCTTCTGTGAATTAAAAAGTCATTACTCTAGGAGCATCCCTATGAGAGCAGGGCATGAGCCTTTGTGTGCATAAAAGGCAGCTGGTGATGGGACTGCAGCTTAATAAGCAGATCTTGAGCTGGATCTCAGCCCAGTCATCCTTCAACTTGGTGTCTGTGCAGTGCACACACTGCACAACAATCCACTGAGCCCCTGCTCATGGGGCTGCCTGATCATGCAGATTTTGTTCACTCTAAAGAAACAAGACTTAATTTCATGGAATCTTCTCACTGAGCAAGACCATATGAATAAATCTAGGAGAAGGGGAAGTAAGCACTCCATGTAAAACATCTCTGCTGCTGCCCACCAAAAGAGCAGTTGGTGGTTAGCAGGTAAGTGACTCTCAAACGGTCGAATGTTCAGATGCTAGGATGCTAGTCCCAAGGAGAATATTTTGCTTCTCTGATTGCCATCTCCTGTCTTTCCAGCTCATTGTTCTAGTACAGCAACTCCAACAGCCCTTCCGCCCCATTGGGACCTCCAGTCTGTTGATATCATGACATTATTATCGTCTTTCACCTCTCCTCTTAAGTTTTATCTCCTTACCCTACTTAAGAGAATCACTCTTATCATCCATTTGTAATATCCCCAACTCTCTTGCCTCCCTGCATTGCTTCTTCCTGCTGATTTAACTAAGGTACACCCCTGATTAAATTCAACCCTCCCTCCTTGTGTGTGTACTTATGCACCTGAACTATGGCTGGAGAAATACAGTTCCCAAACATCTCCCTTCAAATTTATGGCCACTCGCCTCAAGTGGTCTTCACTGCTGCAGTCATAGTGAACATCTCTGTCCCATTCACTCTCCCACTATGCTGACTCTGTTGCATCTCTGACTCAAGAGAGTGAAGCTGCTGGAAGACAACTTCCACAGGTTACCATCACTGAACCCACCTAAGCATCTGCCCTTGTATGTTGTCTGTCTTTATTACTGTTGTTGAAGGATACTTTTTAAAAATATATAATCATGATTCTCATACAAATATAAAATGAACATGTGCCAAAGATTCTATTGAAATCATGGTGAAGGAACCAGTAAGACATTAGAACCAACTCAAAGAAGAATTTCAAAGAGCAGACACACAAATGGATAATGTGTGTGCATGCGTGCATGTTAAGTCACTTCAGTCATGTCCAACTCTGTGACGCTATGGACTGTAGCCCACCAGGCCCTTCTGTCCATGGGATTTTCTAGGCAAGAATACTTGAGTGTGTTGCCGTGCCTTCCTCCAGGGGATCTTCCCAACCTAGGGGTTGAACCCGCTTCTCATGTCTCCACATTGGCTGGTGCGTTCTTTACCACTTTTGCCACCTGGCAAGCCCATATGGATAATAAGTCATGCTAAAATGAATTTGCTTAAGATATGCAAAACTCTCTTCTGTAGTAGGAGAGGAAAATCAATTGTACCTCCATTGGACAAAATTCATTTGTATGTCTATAGAAAAGACTTTTTTGCATTCCTACCAAATGTCCATGACTTAAAAATTTGTAAAATAGCTCAAAAACAAGGTGCAGATAATCTGAAGAGTGTGGTAGACTAGACATCAGTAATTTTTTTTTTCTCATTTCAAAGTCATTTACAACTTTTTCCTGAAACTAAAAACAGTCTTTCTGAGTTTCTACTTGAAGCTAGGCCCTCTGCTTGGGCACTAGAGTCTACCTAAGGACATTGGTTAGCTATTCTTCTTCCTATTAAGTGAGCAAAGTTTTGCCCTTCCTCAATTTTGCCAGCAGCAGACAAAAAATACCTTTTTTGTCTAATCCCATTTCTCTCACTGGATAGCACCTGATTTTTCTGGTGGCTTTGCAGCCAAACTACAAAGTTTTATTTTGTCCTTACTAGCCCCAGTCCCTGTCCTGTCAC